CTCGTGCGGTTCCCGTGACCCACTTTGGCACTCCTATCCGCCAGACGGAAGTGCAATAATCCATACATATATGATGCACAATATGTCCCAGTACAGGCGGAACTTTGCGCCCACTTCCGCGTACTGGCCATGGGATCGGATGGTCCAAGGTCATTCATCGAACCGATGAATCCTTGCAAAAAGTGGACTCTTCGGTTTCTCTGATGCTAAATATTTAGTTCCGGATCATCCCCAGGAATCGCTCACAGCTGTTTTCGTAACCATAGGCATGCAAGGCGTGTAAATGTTTGTAAGCCAATTTTAATCTAATAAAATTCTAACTTGACTCAGAGGCCTAGGGGAATAAAGCAAAAGAGACAAACAATATCCATTCCCCAGTCTCGATGCAATTTCTGTTGTTTTTTCCCCTTAGTTAGAATTAAAATGTATGTTGACCAGCATAGGAAACGTCAAGTTCTGTATTAAAAGGCGCTGGAATATAATGTTTCGCATCGCTGTTTGTGTTATGTTCTAATCAAGCTACGATGAACTAAGAGCAAGAGTTAGATACAGGTGAAAAAGGTTGTCGTTAGCATCAAGCCTATGAGACAAGACCGAATGGTAGTGTGGGTATTCATTAGAACTTTGCATATCGATGTAGAGGAAATCTACAAATTTGCATTTTTGTACATGAAGCATCAGCAAGGATAAGTTAGATCTTTGCACACAAGACCGTTTTTCTGTAGCTTTTCTTTCACTGTTACATGACTTTAATCAAAAAACACTTCTAAAATTCAGTGTGGTGAAAAGAACATTGTTTCCACGAAGAAAAAGAAAACGTACGAAATGGCGTTTGCTAGGTTGTTATATTGGTTTAAGTGTTCAGCATTTGCTACCCATAATAACTTTCGGGGTTGCCACGTTCACTTCTACCATTTATCCCGAAAACCTTTGTCGAAACAGCTGTATATCTAAACAGGCATTTCAATACAATTTTACAAATAATCGTAAGGTCAATTCAACAGGTTTGTTTGATTGCAATGTTTAGCAAATAGCTAATTTAGAATTGATGACGTATATACAGTCTTGTACCGGTAATGATTAAAATAAGAAAGAGGTAAGGCTTTTAAAAGTTTCAGTGAAAAACGTTTCCTTGGCTGATTAAGATTTTTGGGAAAAAGTAAAGACAAAACTTTGTAACATCGGCGCTAATTTCAGCAACGTTTTATTTTAACAAGGGAATAACCATTCGATCAGTAACGATTTAGCTTTCTTTATAAGAGCTACAATGACCCAACTACAATAGAACTGTACCCAGCAGGACAACTAAAAGTCATCAGGTGTCTACAATGGGAGAGAGACTAAGAACACATTCTACAGCAAACGGTAAATGGCAGATTGGCGATGATTCTGGGTATAACATCGTCACGCTATAACCTGGTCATAATCTGTTGTTGTCTTTCGGTTTTGATATCGATGCCACTGAAGATAATCAGTGTTACTTGATTTTAGACTTGAAACAAGCAGACTCTGAAAAACTGATATTAATAGCCAGTTCACATTAGGCACCACGAAGTGTGCTGCAGATTTAGCGTTTGGGAAGTTTCCTTGTCACGTAGCCCTTCCCGGCACCTAAGAGCCCTCTGGGGCCAAAAACGTCAGTTAATTAAACGAAAAAAGCTTACACTCCAACAAGATTATGCTTTCTTTTGACCTGTTGTAGTTATCGCTTTCCTGGCCCAGGTCGTCTTTGGTGACATTTATACTCCAGAGGTTCTAACAAAACATCAAATTATCAAACTTACTCCCTTTAAAAAGTGCAAATTTCAAAATGATGCCGACAACAATAAGAGCTTGCTGACTGAGGGAGGGCCTTGCTCGAGCGAGAGTCAAATATTTCCCGTCGGCGTCCTGACCGACCGCACCCTAAGTACATATATAGTAACATATTGAGCTTGATATGGAGCTTGATTTCGTTGATATGTTGTAAAAATTGTCGTTGGTAAATGTTCTAAATAGGCTATTAATTTTTGAAAAATTAAAATTCTACCATGATGACTGGGCTTACGGAACTTACAGAAGAAAATTTAGTAATTCATCCCTCAACCTCGATGTGTTCAAGCTCAACGCCAACTTTAATTTAAATATAACTTTAATATATCGAACTTGGCCTATTGCGCACGCTAAATAACTGTTGACATGACCACGGCCGGATTTTAGTTTAGCAAAAATCTCGGTGTCAACCTCAGGTCAACCCGGCCGGCCTGAGTCAGTTTACAGTGTTGTTTCCATAGGTTCAGACCAACGAGGCTGTACGGTGGTATCAGAGAAATTAATATTTTCTTATCCGAAGTCTTTTTGAAGCATGGAAGCACCTATCTGAAAAGTAATTAACTCCCTTAACACAAGAAAATTCAAACAAAGTGGGAAGTTTCGTTAAGCTACAAGACAACGCTTTGTCCACGGTAAGTCACAGTTTAGGCCCAGTCTACACTAGCACTCGTTCCATCCGTCATGGTGACTGAAGTTCCCCTATCCCCTAGGTAGCGGTTTGTAATTAGCATTGCATTTTATGATTTTATTTCCGAGTTTTTTCAATTATCAATCTCCTCGAAAATGGGCACAGCACAAAACCGCTAGGAAAACTTAAACACAACTCCAATTGTAAACGACTGCTGGGATGAAACCAGTGTTAACTTGAATCAGAAAAGTCAACTACCCAGCTACCAACATCTAGGTAGAGCACTAAGTGCCATCTGTCGTACAGGTCGTAGGAGTGGAAATACTCTTTCTTTACTGAGAAGGAATCGGATCACGCTGTTAACTTTTTCTGACAGTGCCGTTGATGATTGTATACCCCTTTTGCTGTAGGAAACACCTCCAGGCACCGCACACACATGCGCGATTTACACCCAGAGCATGTCATGTGATAGCAACCCTCATTCTTTTGAACTGGCATCTTACATATGGGACAGGTCTTCCTACTGCTTGGGTCCTTCATCATCCATTCTTCCAGACGTCCCTCCACCTGCTTTCCTGATTTAAACATGGCACAAGTGAGCCCGTTGTGCCACTGCACCTGGCAAGACGTGCAGATCTCGGCCTGACATGCACAGCAAGTGAAGCGTCTTCCTTCCGTTGAGACACGGTACACCATACCGCAGTCGGCAGTTGGACAATACTTGACAATTTCAGGATTCCCTTTAACATACTCATCTAAGGCACTAGCAGCAAGCTTGTTTCTCTCCTTTTCGCTCAGCAGATTCTGCAAATCTCTCCACACAAAGAGCTCTTCACAATCCTCTGTGGCACACTTAAGTGGAAACTCTGCAGATTTCAGTTGCTGGATAACACAGCTCTTGTCAAAGGTATGGCCACAACAAGCGAGTCTGTACAAGTCGGCTGCCTCGTCCACATCGCACACGCAGATACCACAAGTCAGCTGGGTTTGATCATCGAATGTTAAAAGGGACGATTGCTGGGGAAGATTTTTGCAGCATTCCTCTACGTAGCGATTGATTGTCTCTCGAGCCTCCTCAGAACTCTGAATCTGAAGTTCGTGGCTGCAGAATTCGACATGGATCTTTTGGACACCAGGAATATCCTGCAATCCTTTTAGATCGACACCAAATCTCTTAAAAAGAGCTTTCAGCAGCCCACGTGGCTTGTTAGGTTCCCGAAGCCGAATCTGCCATGCGTGACTGTCACTGGTGATGGAGTCGTCAAGAAACTTGTTGATGGCCAGTTTTGCTGATTTCCGTCTAGCTTCGCTTCCATGAATTGCCACAACTTGGTTCTCTCGATCTTGTTTGATCACAGTTCCAGTATCTTTTTCGATGGCTTGAAGAACGTCTTTCAATGGATCGGTCAATAAAATTTCCAAGGTTTTCGATGCTTTGCAGTCAATCCGGTCTACGTTGAGAACTTCGCTGAGAACTGTTGTGGCACAAATAAAGTGCTCCTTGCAGTTGCTTTGGATTTCGATGGAGACCAGCTTGTCTTTGCGTTGATTTTTTACTTTCATAACAAGCTTTGTGCCAAAGAGCAGATCTAGTTCCTTCACAACTGCCTCCAACTTATCTTCGATAATAGTGTAAGTATATTCGGGGCATCGCAAGGTAGTTGAAAGTCTGGGTTCCAGGGTTACGACCCCAATACCAGAGATGCGCCTTCCATTAAGAACACTCACGGCTGCTTGACCCACCTCAGGGTCTTGGAACGTCAGAAAGGCGATTCCCTGAATATCCTTAGGAGAAGGTTTTATCAACGAAACGGAAAATCTGCCCTCCTCAGCGAAGATGCCCCTCTTGAAAAGAAGACTCTCTAGCAAGGATTGTCTCTGCAAGGTGAGGGTATCATCTGTAGTTTCAAATTCTGGCTCTCGGTGGATAAATACTCTATTCAGTGTTACAGTTGGTAGTCTTTCCTCGAAAGCAGACTTCACATCCTCCACTGAGGTTTCAGGATGGAGTCCCCTCATGAAAAGCTGCCCTTCACGGTGCTTGTCAGCTTGAAACGTGACCTGTCTTGACTTTATCATAAGCGAGGGAAGACTGCGTAGAGTCTGAGAAAAATCGTTACCATTGAAACATTCAATGGAACCTGTACCTTTGCCAGGACGTCGAAGCCACTTGGCTTTCACTTTAAACTGAGGGACATGTGCTTGTGCGCCATCAGACATCGAGTGTACCGGATGCACTTCTACGTTGATACCCAGAGAGGTATCAGAAGAGTCCTTAACTGCCATGACCGCGTCTTCAGAATGTTTGAAAGTGGCAAACAATTGCACCTTACCATTCTGTTCCCTGAAACTGTGCTTCTCAATGTCTCCAACCGACTTCAAAAAATCTAAGACGACCAAGGCTTTGCGATGTCCAATCTCCCTGACAGTCACAGTTCGATACATATGGGGCATTAGCAGTTCCTGCACTTCTCCACCTTGTCCCCAAACAATTCTGCTGCCCTGACAATCTTCGTTTAGATACTCTTCTCTTCGCTCATCCCTCAGCAATTTCCTGTTTTCTTCTAAGTGGCTTCCCACAACAGATAGAGCCTTGGCAGTATGGTCTGGTGGCACAAAGATTTTCACTTGGCCTAATTCTTCGCTCGTCTCTAGCACAACCAAACCACCATCACAACACTTCGACACTGTGTCTTCAACTTGATCAATCATTCTTCTTCGGAATCCTCCAAACGCTAACGTCATAAGGTCTCGACTACAAGGCAAAGCCACTTCTGTCAGCACTGTTGAAATTAGTTCTTCCATGTCATAGTTGAGAGTTCCATCCGATATCATTTCTTGAACCCACTTCTCTTCGACAGGAGTCACGTTGATGACAAAATCACGAGATGTCTTGAGCAGTTGTTCAAAAACGATGAACTGAGGTGTTTCTCCAAGGAACTTGAGTGCTGAGGTAGGATGTAACTGCGCACAGTGATTGAATGCCACCACTCTGTACCCTGCCTTCTGGTGGCCAGTGAACACACAAAGGTTGGCAGCATAACATGATACCAAAATCCTTTGTAGCTTGCGATCAGTCCTGTCATTCTGTTGACCGGCATCTGGTACTCTAATGCTCAGCTCGTGCTTCAAAGCCAGTTTGAGCTCTTTGATTGTCTCATCTGCCAAGCGAAGCGATTTTGCGTTCAAGCTGTTGTCAAAGGCCCACTTGTTTCGCTTTCCTTTAGGTTGCTTCAGGTGTTGTCTATATACTTCCAGCAACGTCAACAGGTCACCACCATTGTGACAGAAACCGACTTTTCTACTGTCAGCCATGTGCTTTTCATCTTCGCTGCCCATGCGGAAGAATAGGCTCCTACTTACAGTTGCAATGGCTGCTAAAGCCAATGCTTCAGCACCGACTCCTTGATCAATGCCATCAAATAACAACTTTGCTAACCGTGGCTCCAAAGGAACTCGAGCAATCTTGTGGCCAAGCCCTGTAAGCTGTCCATTAGCTGTGGCTCCAAGCGATTTCAAGTTCTCCAAGGCAAGTTGCATTGACTCCACTGGTGGTGATTCAACAAACTCAAACTCTGTCACATTTTCGATGCCCAGTTCCATTAGTTTCAACATTGCCTGGCCTAGATGGACTCTTAAAATTTCTGGCCTAGATCGATCTTCCATTGCTGCATATTCTTCCTCACTTGACTCCCATAAGAAAAGGTCAGGGATAATCATCGTCTCACTTAGGGGTGCAAATCAAGGATTTTGGTCTCACTTAGGGTGGTCAGGCCACTATTTTTAGCTGTTAAAGTATCGTTTAGGGTGCACTCAGAGCTAACGATTAAAGAACGCTCTCATTTCTGTTTTCAGGCTTAATTTCTGCCATTCTGTCAAGTCCAGTCTACTAGCCAAGGCTCCTTTCCTAAACGGCAGCTGGTAATCAAGCCTATTCTGTTTTAAGGGGTTTATCTTTTAGGGGTCAAATAAAGCCCTAGCCACACCCAGACTGGTCTCCTTTAGAGGTTAGATTCAAATTTTCCCACGGGCATCACCGCCGCAGGCAAGTGTTTCCACAGCTTTTTCGAGTTCTCCCAAACTTTCACGAGTGTTGCTATGACTCGATAGAAACACGGAGAACATGTTTTTCTATTTCTTTTAGAAAACACCGTGACAAAAACAAGGAAAACAACTTGTTAACTTTGATTATCAAAATGTAAATCTCTTTGCTCATGCCATCATTATGTCAACAGCTCATGCTAGTTCTGTCTTTCTATCGAGTTACAGAAACACGATTTTTAACCAATCAGCTCACGTATTTTCTTAGGAATGTTTTCTGATAAAGATTACTTCATAATAACAATAAAAATAATAATAATAACAATAATGTCATTGTCTTTGTCATTGTCATTGTCACTGTCATCGTCAGTGTCATTGTCATTGCCACTGTTATTGTTATTATTATTATTTATATACTTGATCATGTCATCATTTAGGAAGTGTATCTAGTGCCTTATTATTCTCACCTGTTATATCCATTAGAGAAAGTTTACATTGCAAATAATCATCTTCCATAACAGTTGTCTTCAACTTGACTAACTCTATGCCAAATCTTCTTCGAATGTCATCAGTCACAAGGCATTCCTCAACAACTGCATTAAGGTGATCAGAGCAATAGTCTTCCCACAGGCGTTCAAGAATTTCAAGGGTGCGACACCCAACTGTGATTAGTAAACTACCGTCACGGGCTGCCACTATTGGTGAGTTTAGAATTCCTTCTAGGTAACTGCAAAGTTGACAAGGTATATTCTCAACTGGCACTCCATCTGCCCTTGTCTCAAAGAAAGTTTTGGTCATCTCAAACATCAGTTTTTGCTTTACTTCCTCCAGTTCTCTTGGATGAACATTTTGTTCATCTCTAAAGGTAACACTGTCTACGTCAATTGCAATGGTTAAAGTGCCTTAAAGAAAACAAAATAGTTACTGTTAACTTTGCCAATGAAAAAGAGCTAGTACCTTTCCCTTGAAAACTGTCTTAATCACTAGTTTTCTGCTGCTTTCAGCAAGCAGGATACTGTCATGTCCATGTTTTTCAGTTTGTTTATTCAAAACTTGTATTAATTACCATATAATCCTGGTTATGAGCCCTGGCTCATATATTTTTGTATAAGGGATTGTGGGTGGACTTGACATGTAACAGGAGCTTGTATCTGGGTGGGCGATTTTAAAAGCAACGTTGGACAATCCCATCCTGACAACAGTTGACCTAAAGACTTTGATGAGGAATAATATATTGTAAGAAAGCCAGTTTGAATAAACAAATTGATTTGCACTGTCCTTGCAATGTTTTAAGGGTGCAGCACCCTAGTGGTTACTGCACTGCACTCAGCATCGATTGTTGTCCTAGCATGAGCCTAGGGTCACGGCAGTGGTGCTCAACTCCAGCTTTATGGCATCAAGTAAATAATCTTGGGGTATCAAGTAAATAATCAGGAGGGCAACTGCTTTTCACAGGCAAGCAAAACGTTTTGAAAAAACTTTCCCAGGCTGGCAAAATTGTCTGCAAAGCCAGTCAATTTGCCAGCAGGTGCCTGGCCTTTATTGAAATTCCTCACTATTGTGAGTTCAGTGTTTTCTCCCGTGGGTTGAGATTTCCTAACCTAAAAGAATACTCTTGATGGTCCGTGTGTACAATATAATATCTGGAACTGACAAGCTGACCTCGTGTAAAGGTGTTAGTTGTCGCAAAATCATCCAGCTTTCTGCTGATATTTCCAGCTTCATTCTTAACTTCATTCAGCATGTACTTAATGTTGTCCTCATCTTTTTTCCATTCCTTAAGGAGCTCTGTATAATATTGCTCAATTTCAGGCTCCATGCATTCAACTTGAAGACTGTCAATTTCTTTTTCATAACTTTGTCCTCCTAATCTTACCAGAGTGCCATGGATGTTCTGCCAGAGAGTACTGAACTCTAAATCAGAAATGGAAGCCTTCTCTGCATGACCATATATGTCATTTCTGAAACATTTCAGACGGACTATATCAGCCTCACGGCTCATGTCTGTTGTAGGGGGAGCTCTGTCCCATGATTGTGTCGTTGTAGGAGGTTCCAACCCACAGATATGCCTTAGGAGAACTATCAAAAGAGTGATATCAAAGTTTGCCAATGATGCTGATGTAGCTATGGCAGGGTACAGTTTGCTCCATTGCACTGCATTGAGGACTCTTTGCTTCCTCAGTGTTCGTAAAGTTGACCTATTTGCTGCCAAAACTGCATGAAGTCTTGCTGATGCATGTATGTTATCAAATGTGTCTCTCAGGGCCTGACAGCCAAAATCAATTAAAAGACGACACAGTCGAGCGTAATTGGTTGCTTCCTTCTTGGGTGCTCTTTTCGGTGTGGAAGAAGCCATGAAATGGCTGGTTCCAGCTAATCTAATCAGATGTTCAAAAGCAATAAAAAAATACCAGCGAGTGTGTATTAAAGTCTTGACTAAATAGTAACCTACAACTTACACTGTAACTATCAATCCGCTAAACAATTAAAAGTTTGCTGCTTTCTTGGTTGACACTTGGAAGAAAGGGTCACTTATTAAAATTATGTTAAAAATGTGTTATAACGGTGAAAAATTTTTGTTGTCTTTGAACATGAGGCATTTGGTAATTTAACTGTTTATTCCAGATTATGTAAAGGTGTAATTTC